AGTTCCAGGGCAAGAACATGGGCTGACATCATAGTGAGTAACTCGCTTTACATGTCATTTGATCCTGAACCAAATCAGGAAACTGATGTATTTGCTTTCCCCAGATTCAAGATCAGCGATCTGGTTGGTTCGATGTCACACTGAAAAGTCCACCAAAAACAATTGACTTTCGATTCCATCCTAATGGCATCTCACCATTGGATAGGGTCAGGATGGTGAAAGAGCAAGACTTGCTAGTACAACCAAATCCTCCACTTGTAGTTGCACCTATAGCTGCAGCTGCAGCTTGTATTCCGGCTCCGACAACCTCACAGTTAGAACCTAGTTTGATTTCAGACATGGACGAGCGTCTCTTTATGAGCTCTTACTGCGGAACATTCGAAGATTTCTTATCCTTTGCACGCATCAAGCCTAACGACATAGAAACTCGAAACAAGCTGGAGATTATGGCTTTTGATCATTGGACTGATCTCCGAGAAAACGAAGCAGAAGGATTTGGCTTAGATGCTTTAATCAAACAAGGATTCTTACCTGCAACTGCCAGAAAACTGATCTCAGGAGCTCAGAGATTTGGGATTCGAGTGAGAGAATCAATTCAACAAGGTTTCTTCCAACCCATCCAGATTTTATCGAAGTTAACCAAATTTAATCCCCTTCTTTCAAATCCTGCTCTCAGGAATCTCAGCAAAGGTGGCCAGATCTTGTGATCTCTTCTCGTGACATCCTGTACACCTCATTTAAATATTTTACTCTGTTGTTATGTACTCTCATAATCGATTATTATGTCCAATATGTATTGTACTTTGCAATATAAAGTTGTGTTTGTTTTGTACTCAATGAATTGAATTGATTCAAACGTGAATTTTTGATATTTATTTCGAGAGAAATACTAGAGAAATCTTTTCAGGCCACAGTAGACTCACAACTTGGTTTAGTACTAAGAAAAAAATTGAAGTTAAAAAACTATAGACCTTTTTTAAAACTTAGTGATAAGAAAAACAATAAAAGATGAAAAAATCATAGTTGTTTTTTAAAAGCTATTCTATGTCTGATTAGAAGTATTACATATTTGATACACAAGTTCAGATAGCTACAAGTAAACTGAGCCCTCATATAGGCTCCTAATCAACTTCGGTGTGATCACATCTTCAGTGGTCATGTAAACAATCTCTTCTTCTTCTTCAGACGTAAAATCTCCAATCAGGGCTCGAGTTCGACGCAAACGACTCTTAACCACTGAAAAAACTTTCTCGATCGGATTAAAGTCAGGGCTGTATGGGGCGAGGTATAACAATCGCACACCGAACCGTTCGCAAAGATTGTCGATTTCCCCGCCATGATGGACAGGAGCGTTATCGAGTACTAGACAGGAATTGACTTCGGGCCATGGGTTCATCATTGGTAGCTAGTGATGTGTGATGAAGGACAATATGTATGGAAATCAGTTAGTGTCCAAGATTGAGAAAAGAGAAAGATGACTTTTTGTGATGTACTTACCAGATATTCTTCAAGGTATGTTTCAAAGTCTAATCGCTTGGAAGATCCCTCTTTGACTTGAAGAGAAAGCAAACCATCTAGAGAAATAGCTGGCAGGACAGTGAATCGTTTAGAGTTGGTAGGTCTTCGGAGCCGCTCAGTCCGTTGACCCCGATTAGCTCGAGCGTACTTACGGTAGAGCCTTCGTTTGGCTATGGCACTTTCGTCTATCAAAAATCAGAGTATCATCAGTTTTATGGAATGAGAGTGAGATGGAAAAAGAAAAAACTCACCGAGGAACACAAGACAATCTGGATTTATTCCACCAACTTCGTAAAGATATTCACCTCGACGTATCGGTGATTGATTTGGATGTACCGTTCTTGCAACTTTACGAGTAAGGACCAGCCGGTCTCGAATCTCGATCGCAAGAGTCGAAATTGAAATTGGAGTTTCGGTTCGAGCTTGAAGACGCTCAGCAATCTCATCAAGGTATAAAGTCGGGTCGTCTTCGAGCATCTCTTTGATGAATGCTCGTTGCCCCGCTGAAAGAATAGTCGGAGCACCTCGGGTTTCGTAGAACTGAGGATTGGCGAGTACAGAGTTTGTGGTGAGATACAGTTGTGTCCATCTCCCCAAAGACTGACGCGAGATTTTGATATCAAGTCGGTCATTGATCGAGTTGAGATCTTCTCCTCAAAGCTTGAGGCGTACGGCGATTACTTTGATGTCGGCCGAGTACTTGACAAAAACCATCAGAAAGATGAAGGAAGAGTTCGAAGGGACGAAAGAAGGGTGAGAGTCGAAGGGTCTAGAGTCGAGGTTGATCATCCGAAGTTGATGAGGTTCCCAAGTCTAACCGAGCTGGGATCCTCAAGTTTAATGAGGTTCTCAATATTCTAACCGAATGAGATCCTCAACCTTTGGTAGTCGGATGCGGAAGTGATTGATGGTGGTAGGTCGGGATCAAATGAGGAGAAAGGGCTAGAATCGAGAAGGGTGAGAGGTTGACAGCGTCAGCTGACCCCGCGTGTGTAAAAAAGAGTTGCTGACCCCGCGGGGCACCCGACCCGCGGCATCGCCGCGAGAAGGATTGTGTGCGACCATCACCATGCTTATAAAGGAAACTCACTGTAGAAAAGAAGTGCGCTCCATAAAATATTCATTTTTCTTCGATAGTTGCAGTGTACTATGAGATAAGAGCTGTGGAACAAAAAATCAGTGCTAAAAAGTGATTTCGAAGCATTTTTGTAAAAGCAAATACAAAAACACAACAGGACAAAAACAAAATCAACCGTCCAAGCTTTCTAGGAACGGCTGTAACATGTAAGTCTTCACTGTATCGTCTGAAGTAGAATCAACACCGTCTAAGCCTTTCTTGAATTCCATAGGAGCGATTTTGGAGGGGTGGCCGACAACAATTCCAATCAATTAATGGGATGTCAACTCATCAGAAGAGGGGAAGAGTCAACCTTTCAATCATGAAATCTCAAATTTTTTTTTGCCGGAACGCCACTCAAAGGAATGAACAAGTCAAATTCAGCGCCACATTTCACAAAGCCTCACAACGGTAGGAAAAAGACGGAAGCTTGTAAGTAAACAAATTTGGGGAGCTACGCTTCATAGGCATTGCTTCACAACTAGACGTAGGTCATGTGGTACATCTATAACAATCTGGTCATCTAAGCTTCTACTATCTTTGCCCCTAGACAACAAATCAGCTAAATTTTTTCCCGTTTCTACTCTTTCAGCTACAATATCACAGTGGAGCTCAACCATGAGCTTTTGCACAGCTTTCCACTCTTTGTTTACCGCCATATCGCCGGACTTACGTTTGTCGACTGCGGATTGTGACGTGGTATTGTCGGTGAGTACAATAAAGGTCTTGCCTCCTACGTTATGAATCTCTTTCAACACCAAGAGTCCTAACCGTATGGCGACGGTCTCTGCCCAGGCGATATTTCTCTTTCCTCGGGACGTTGTAATTTCATTCCAGCCTTTCACCAATTTGAATTCAGCCCACTTCAAACCGATTAACACTCCAATTCCTGTCATGGACGCATCACCAACCCACTGAACGTCAATAGGTACGTTGTCTGGAATGATTCTTCTCGGTTTGAATGCCTTCAAGGTTGATTGCCATTCTAATAAATCCTCTTTCACGTCTCCCGGGACTTTCCTCAAGGCCGATGGCACCTTCCACTCGGCCTCCCACCTGTGAAGACCCGACATATAACATCGGAGATTGGGTACTATGTATGTGGTATGAACCAATCTCCCGATGAATTTTTCTACTTGCTTCAGATTAAACGATGCTTGAGGTACTAAGAAGTCGTCGACTTGTTTCGATCTTTCAATGAACTTGTCTTCAGGTAACCTCACCGTCCTCTCGGCCACGTTCCATATAAATCCGATATACCGCTGTTCATCAGCAAATTTGTGGGCCTTCTCAGCATTCGAAGCAACACCCATCGCATTACTTAAGTCTACAACATCTTGAATCGTCGTAGGGTTAGATACTTCTTTAATGAGTAAGTTATCATCCACCCATCTGAATGCAGCAGCTAATTTGAAACGCTTCTTTACAATCTTCCTCCACAAGTCGGCAGGCCTTCCAAAAACTCCGCATCCAGCAACACCCCCAAACTGTATACGCGTATCTAACCAAAGGCGGTTGTTGAGGTCCATCAGGAGAAGGAACCTCCACTGTGAAGGATGAATAGGGATTTGGCGATAAGCCTTTTCCCAGTCGAAGATCGCAACTAGGTATCTACCCGAGTGAGTTCTAAAGAAGATTGCTATGACTTTAAAGTCATCCCAACTCGTTTCAAATTCCTTTTTGTCTACAAAGCTGTTTACTGACGGTGTGTCTTCGTCATCATGCGGGAAAGATAGGTCGTTTATGATTCGGAAGGACCCGTCCCCATTTATTACACTGCCCATAGGACTTGATCAAAAAAAACCTAGTTTGACATATACTTCCTGGTGAGTAAAAGGGCCAAATATCCTATTGGCTCTTCGTTCTTTCGCGATAGTGTTCGATATCTTTTCGGATGCCTGAATGGCTGACTCGTGATTTTTCGGTGTATACCACTTCCGGTCTCCCAATGTGTGATCGGGAATACCTTGATGAAAGCCGTGTGTGCAACCTTCTAAGACCTCCACAGCGTCTTCTCCAATCTCATACCAATTTACTAACTCTCTCCATTTATCTAGGTGTAGATCACAGACTGCCGTCTCTTGAGGCCAACGAGGGTCAAAATTCTTACCAGAGTTGACATAAGGTAGGAGCTCTACAATACCCGAACGCTCACGGACATCGTCTATCCTAAGACGAGGGGTGTTACCTCGCATACGTCTGCGATTAACCATCGGGCTAAATCAATACAAGGGGAAATATGGCAGGTATCAGAATTTTGACCTCAACAATCACGAGTGTTATTATTCCACAACAAAAACATGGTACGGTTCAAGCTGAACAAACAATCCGACACATATTTGTGCACAAGACTCTGGACGGAGCCCTACACTGCGCGACACTGATCTCGGTCAGACAATTCAAGATAGAAATTGCAGATCTCTTGGATGGCGGACAAGACACGCCCTGGTAATGGTGGACTACACACACCAGCACAACAACCATTTGTACGTCTTTCTTACTTTCAGAGGCACCACAGAAGGTTATATATGAGCATGAATCGCCTAGGGCTTACTTGGCCTTTCCATTGCCACCAAATCTTGGGCCATGTGGCTCGCGCTCATCCCCCTTGCGTTTGTCTCGCCTGTCATCACGTCTCCAGGCTCCGCTGCCTTCAGCTCTGCGGCTGTCGTAGCCATCATGACCTCCCCTACGACCTCTCAAGCCTTCCTCACGATTCCCATTGGAATTGTAACCGCCACCTCTACCACGACCCCTAGTTACTCGATTACCAGAAGCTCGATCATCACCACCATTGAAGTAACCCACACTACCAGGGCCTTTGTAATGTGCTTGGTTCGCGTAAGTCCAGGACCTTGCATTTGGCTTAGTGGAGCCATAACCAAACTGATTGCTCGTGTTGGCTTGGAATGGGTTAGCACCTGGACGCAGGAGTTCACCGGTTAGAGGGTTGATATTGGCTTTGCATTGACCGTCAGCGTACGGGTTGATATCGGTGAATCTGGGGTCAAAGTCTCCTAGTCTTTCAGAGTCGAGGCGCGCGTTTCGTTCGAAGGTCTCGTTAACTAGCGCAGGGTTCGCAACCTTCCCATCGGCGTTCCGGAAGGTGAGAACGGTAGTTCGAATGGCTAGGTTGTATCGGAAAGCCATAGGCCAGCTTAGTCGATCTCGCATTATCGCAAACACATTTTCTTTGTGTATTTTGAAACGGTCTGCCAAGCGGTCATGCTTATAATAGTACAAGTAAGTGACACAAAGGTCGAAGGCCGTGACCCATTCTCCAAAAGTCATCTTCCATTCTGAGGGGACTGATAAACCGTGATACTTTTCACCGTCTTTATCTTTGTACGTTTTAGGTCGTTGGGAGTGCTTAAGTAAATCCATCTTCAACCAATTGATGTTAAAAATCGACAAAGGTAAGTAGCCTTCCAAGGGTCTGATTTTGTCGTCCCAGTGCTTTGAGAGGGCCACTAAACCGGTGTTTTCAATTCCTTCGTCGCTGACTTCAGGTTTTATGTTGCTTGTCGCTTTTGTCGACCCCACATCTGAAGGAGACTTCTCGGGCGCATTACTAGTACCACCAGTGCCGTCGAGGCAGATCACCTCGCGTACAACTGGATTAGCCGGCTTTACGACGGGTCGCTGAGGTAACGCTGGAACACCAGGCTGTACCCTGGGAACTGAATTGGAGGGATTTCTGGGTACGTTTCGCAGAGCCGCCGTGACATTTTGAACCGATGTGCCGGTTGTGTCTGATTGCTTGACTACTGCAAGTCCCATTGCCGATAACCAGGAATGGAATCCTTTCGGGGGGCTTATTCCCACACCATCGATAGTGTTTCTGCGACTTGGAGATCCCGCGGCTAATCGTAGCAAGGAGTGGGAACCAGACAAGAAAAACATTTTCAGTCCTAGGTCCTTAGATATTATCATACTCCAAGGAGGCATCACACAGGGTGGCATCACGCAACGTATCGTGGAGGGTAAATTCATCGCGCTTGCGGCATCACCAGAGGTGGGCGGATTAAGACTTCGAAGCTTACCATTTCTGGATTCATTAACATTGTCCTTGGATATGAGACTCGTCAGATCGACTGCTCCTTCACCTGACAGGTGGATAATCGTAGTCTCAGTGGTGTTTGACCGGAAGGGTTGCCTCCGACAGGTGTGTCGGCTGACAAAGAGTTTCCTTCAGTATCCAGAGCTGACGAGGACGCAGGAGTAGCGTCTGGAGTGCTATTGCCACCTATTCTGGGCACCGTGAGTGTGACTATCGGGGCTCTATCTCCCGTCGTGGCTTGAGTTGCCGGTCTGGTCGAACCTCTAGCGTTTCGGCGTCCTCTGCCTCTACCCCTACCTCGTTGGGATTCGGTCGTTATCGATGACGGAGGTTGGTCGGGATCCAGGGGGGGATGTACCGTTTGTTCGCTTTCGAGAGGGGGGACCGACCCTCCTCTCAACCTATCACTCGTTCTTCGCATTATAGCGTTAAATTTCTCTACGTTTGATGTTTGCGTGTCGTTGGTTGACATAATGAAATAGAAGTAGTTGAAAAGGGATTCGAAAAGGAAGTTTAAGCGTGAGAGCTTAAACCGTGAGAGAAGAGTGAAGGATTTCCCAGATACGAGTGTGGGGTAGACGGCTATGGCCAAGTCGACACGTGAGTGTAAGAGGGAGTGGAGGAATATTTTCCTCTACCTCTTGCAAATTCATGCTCGCGCCGGGAGAAAACTTACCCTCTGTATAGGGCTATTTTTCCGACCCATAGTCCGACCCCACCTTGTATCGTGGAAACAGACGGTACCGTCGTGCCTTTGGGTACCGTCAACCATGAAGTCTTGACGGAGGGGTAAGTAAATCAGATTTTTGATACACGTATCCCACCATTTCACTAACTTAACCCAAGTCCAATCGTGCAAAAGCTCACGGTAACCCGAAGCCGAGGCACGAGGGACTTGCACATTAAACGACATCTCTGGCGTGACCAATAGCCCCAAAAAGTGAAATTTGGGTCACTTTTGGATGCAACCCATCCTATCTCATTCAACATTACTTTGATGTTGTTTCTGAAACTGGCTGGTATGAGTTCAGCATCTTGTACATAACTTCTATTAGAAAAAAAAAGAGAATCAAAAGTGCCAGCTCACAAGAATTGAGCTGGAAAACGAGTAATAAGTTTGTTTAAGGGAGTCAATTGACCATCTCTCGAGCCTTTTTAAGGGTACACATAACAATCTTAGCGGTTGAAATTTCAAATCTCAAAATAAGCAGCCTCAATGAATCAACACGATCATGAGCTCTGTCGAGATTCTGAAGAGGCCATTTCCTTCATAACTCGACAGAGCTCATCTGACTGTTTTTTTGAAGAAAATGCATTTGTGGGTCGTGGTGTAAAAGTGAAGTGAAAAAACACCCACCAAAAGGTGGCTATTAGTCACGCAACAATTGTCGTTTAATGTGCAAGCCCCCTGTGCCAGGGGCGGACGAGTCCGAGAAAAATCACCTGGCACAGTGGGCTTGTTGTTAAGCTAGACCATTTCATGATCTGCCTCTCAAACTTCATCTCAGAAAACCCCTCCAAAAACTCTCTTGAAACAAAAACCAATGAAAAGACCTATTGAAAACCCCTTCACTCCACTTCTTTCCTTGTTCATTTTCTCTTTCTCTGTTCTTTCTCTCTTTCTTTGTTCTTTCTCTCTTTCTTTGTTCTTTATTTCTCTCTTTGTTCTTTCTCTCTCTCTTTGTTCTTTCTCTCTCTCTTTGTTCTTTCTTTCTACTTCAAAAAAAAAGTTGCAGTTTTAAATCCATACCATCCTTTCTCAACTTTTTTTCTTCAAATATATGTAACACTTCACAAGGTAAAATATAACTCTCAAGTTTTTCAATTTTTTAAAAAAAAATCATGATCAAAGAAAAAAAAAAACTAACAACTCACTGTCCAAACTCTCTAAACATTAAAGTAAATAAAATTGAACATAAAGATAAAGAAGAGGAATTAAGAAAAAAGAAAAAACTTTAAAAGAATTGCAATGTAAAAAAAATGGAAAATATGCAATAAAAAAACTTCTCTTTGTCTCTTGATATTTAAGATTTGAACGAACGAAAAATGTAAAGATCAAAAAAAATCAAAGTAAAAAAAAAAAGATGAGCAATTTAAATAAGATATAATAAAAAGACTTTTGTTTAAAAAAAATAAAAATAAAAAATGATAAAAAAAGGTCTTTCAAAAAAGAAAAAAAAAAGAGGATAAAAAGGATCAAAAAAGATAAATAAAATTAAAAAACGAAACTAAAAAAAAGTAAAATAAAACTCCAAAAAAAAATCAAAACAACCTCAACTAAAAAATGAACCAAAAATAAAAAACAACTCCCTCCATCCCATCCCATCCCATCCCATCCCATCCCATCCTTTAATTATAGCAGTATAATCA